GGAGAAAGATGCCAAAACTTCATATATGATAAGGAAGAAATAACCAGACTGATAATGATAACCATGCAAACGAGTGAGGGCTAGGTGGTGTGATACACGAAGTAAAATGGGGAAAGAATCGGCGCAAGGTGGTTTGTCTTGGTCCTGTTCTGCTCCTGCAAGTTCGTATGCAGCAGCCAAAACTGCTCCTTACACGTGTGTAATGCGGGTTGCCGTCATTTTCATTATTCTTGAAATACACAGCAATAATCCTCTTTTACCATCACCGGTAAAGCGACATTTCCCAAATGGTGTCGTAGAAAATATTCAGTAGAGGCGTATATTTTAGAAATTGAAACTACTATGGATGAGTTATAGTTCCACAAAAATTCACTAAAAGCTTTAGGATTTGAAAAATGTTAACATGTGTATATTTATACGAGTTTTTATTCAATTCCATTATATATATATATATATATATATATATATATATATATATATATGTGTGTGTGTGTGTGTGTGTGCGTGTGCGTGTGCGTGTGTATGTGTGTGTGCGCGTGTGTGTGGTGTTAGTATGCGTATTTATGTAATTGTGTGTACGCACAGCACAGATAATAAATCCAGAGAACAAAGGATACATTGAAATGCGTAGGTTAGATTGCCACCCTGCGTCAGCCGTGTTGGCTAATGGATTAAGTACAATTGATCGATAACAATGCGTGGGCGAAAGGTAAAAGGTGATTAAAGGTTAAAGATAATAACACAGAGGAAAAGTATGTGAAAAACATGGGCAAATACAGCGAACATTTTCTACTCTCTCATTCGGTGTCGCGCTGCGGTTTCTCAGAGGAAATTCTGTTGCCTCTGTGGTATCGTTGACCGGGAGGCTCTGAGGTTTGCGTTTTAACATCGGAGGTTTCTTGATACTAACAACATACCTGTGTTGAATTTAACTACGATTTGACGAAAACTCTAGAAGCATGATGTCGTGATCGGTAGTTTTATGTTATTTTGTTTTAACAAGACCAGGCGAATGCTGGGGTAAAATTCTAACAAATTACTATTTTTCCTTTCTTATCCTCATTCCGTCTTCTCCACTGCCACACAGTACAAGATGTTAACTTGAAATAAACATTATCGTGATGTACACTACAATGTTCCTCAGCACCCCTTGTGGGGAGGCCTGTCGGGAGTTTATCGCCAGTCCCGACCGGGATAAACACCTGAAGGAGAAAACAAGAGTGAGCTGAGGTGTAGGTCGGCCCCGGATCTCGCGTTTCAGCTGAGGAGGATCCCCGCCCTCACGCGGGATAAGCAGATCTGTGCAAGATGGTCGTGGCCAAAATGAAGCAAGAGTACTTTACGTAATGAGGGCGCGACCAGGAGATTCTCGTACGAGGCGAGTTTGTCAGCCGAACGTAGCGAGGACGACAACAAAACGAGTGAAGAAAAAACCTCGCACCGGTGCTATGCATACTATTGTTTTTAACACGCCGATAGCGAAACGCAATTCGCCAAGTAAAGCAATATGAATTTTATTTTACCTACGTTTAACCAAAGTAAGTGAATTCCAGTCAGTGTCGAAACAGTATTGTTTGTAAATAATAAACAATGATTTCGTTAACACTAAAGACTATTGCGAAACGTTACAGATGTTTTGCACACACTACGCGATGGTCGCACACATTTCGCGATGTTTCGCACACTGTGAAAAAAGTGCAGTTTTGCAAAAGAAGCGCGAGAAACCACGGATAGCGCACGGCGTGTTAAAAATGTATTCTCTTCAAAAGTAAGCATAAGTTCTAAAACCCTCTTATCAGAAAACGAAAAACCTGATATTTGCGTTGAATTGGAGATTCGGTAAACAGATGTCAATGAATGGAAAACCCGAGAGTTGTGAAATGTTTTAAGGACTGATAGCAATATTGCATGACGAAACATAACAAACATTAGTGAATGTGTAGAGGTGCTGACTCAATTACTGGGAAATAATAATAATTTATATTGATATATGTTGAAAAAATTGTGTGGGAATAGCCATTAACATTCATGTATGAATTTCTCTCGCTAGTTAAGCTCACCTCACTTTCATGGACTATGCAATAGCGATATTGTTTTTGGATCATTTCTATATTTATTATTTTACTTGTTTACCGTCTCCATTTATAAAAAGTTTTTTAGATAAATCTGAAACCGTTCTTATATTATTGAAAAAGCAACGAAACTTTCCGTAATAGAACAGTCAGTAGACTCTACTGAGTTGTTCTGCGGAGACTGGCGATCAAGAATCCACATTATAATTTAACTGCTCGTCAAATGTATTAACGCGCTTTCACATTGAAACACAAACGTTAACTAACGAAAAAGTAAACGTTTGCTACCATTTTATTAAATGATACGATTCATACGAATATCCGTGAACATGAACGTAATAGTTAACTCTGAAAGTTCGCAATCTGCTCAAGTTTTTGTATACCAACATAATGTGAGTAGAACACACTTTCGTTTATTGCTGGTTCAAATTTTCTTGATACACGACCTGCGAAGTCCCAGCGCTGACTAGCACAGCCCGTTGAGATACTTAGGTCCCTTTTGAAACGGCACCTGCCAATATGCAATGCTGCCAACAAGAACCTTGTGCTTTCAAAACAATCGAAGCATTTCTCGTAGCCCGCTTTGGCGCGTTATCGTTTCATGCTAAGTTCATGCTAACTGTTGGTACGCCCTTTTAAGCCACGGTGTAGAGGAAATCCTCCATTCGCAGCACCCCCTGTTGTGGTATTTCAAGAAACGTTTCGCGTATGTTACCGAAGCATGAATGATAACGCAGCATGGTATGGCATTCTGATCGTGCAATTCGAAATAATTATCGTCCAAGAGTACTCGCATCCATGTTTCAAAATGTAGCTCATTTGAATAAAGAACGTCTGTGCCGAATATTTACCGCTTTGATATCAATAAATACCTAAATTCACATTCAAGGGCATTGTAAATTTATCCAAATGCATCATTAAAGTATATTTATATTTATTCTAAAGCAGTTTATGGTTAAAAAGAGTTCGAATTTCTTATGCTAAACATGTTACAAGATGAGTAATTGAACGTATATTTTTGGCAAAATATTAAAGAAAGCCCTGTCATTTTTGGTTAGTGTACACATATCATTTAATACACAAACTAAATTCAAGAAATTTTTATCATCGCTATTTTCGATATAAAAAATAGTTTTTCATCAAAAGTATGGTTTTTTACATTTTCTTGTACATTTGTACCAATAAAATGGAAAGTACAGTATATTTTGGTAATATGTTTCATTAATCATGTATAAAACACTTTACTTCAAATATTCACTTATTGTAAATTGTCTATGATGAATGATTTGAGAAGAAAGTTACTTTTACAGAAAAAGACTTTCATGCTATAAAAAAGATTTGAATGTTTACTTCCTAATGGACGCCTGAATCGTAGCTGGACTGTAAGTCTAAACAGGTATTGTACACAATGCCTAAACCATAGCTGGACACAACGTAAATATAAATGTGTACCAACTTACAAGCAGCAAAGCAGTAGGTTCTCCAACTTCAACAGTCCCAACGAAAATTGAAACGACATTGATTAAATACAACGATAAAACCTTAACAGTTCAAGTGACTGGAGGTGCGTGTAAATGGCATGCGCACGCAATTAATATAGTTTCATTCGTCATAGAAACCTGATTTATGTCTCATTTTACACAGACAAGATTTAACTACAGTACTACAAAACTACACTACAAAACTACAATAAAACAAAAATTATTTTTGGGGCCCGAAAATCGATTTCCAATCCCTTCAAGTACTTTTATACTTTTAGCCGACCGCCTGCGTTAGCGTTTGGGTTGTTATCTGCGCTGCTTCCGCGCACGGCGTGTCCACAAGGGCGCGGCGTGCCGCTCGGCCGGGAGCGCTCACCTGGAACTTGTCGTGGTGCAGGTCGAGGAAGCGCTTCACGCGCAGGGTGTCGTTTGCGCGGATGGCGCGCTCCAGCTGCAGGGCCTCGGTGCTCAGGTCGCCCGTCGACGACGCCAGGCTGCACACACACACACACACGTTAAACAGATCAAGTGGTTGCATGAAAAAGATGATGTTCTAGTGACATCTTGTTAATGTATTCACATCTCTGTATCTTATAATTAAGTTATCAAACGTGTGGACAGTTATTAGTTAACGAAAATATATACATATATACATATAATGTATTCAAATGACTTAATATGAAAATTAAATTGATGAACAACTCTGGATAGTTATTAGTGAATGATGCCAGTCTGCACACGAGTACATGTTCACAAGTCACACACGATGCTCACATAGAAACTCGTACTCATCACGCATACGGAAAGGAGGTCAAATGATTTCTTCAAAGGAACAAGAAGAGTAAGTGGTTCTTTAATTTATTCAAATTCCTTCATTTATAATTAAATTCATAAAAAAGGACACGTAAGACATATGTGACACAGAAATCACATGAACAAGAGGTTAAAAACGAGAGCGTTTACACTACATGTGAACACATAGTATGTAATATGGATACAAAAAGAACTCACAACATGAAAATCCATTCTAAAACCTGAATAAAATGCGTACTCCAGCCTGCACCCAGCAGAGGAGGTAAACACATAACAAATGTGTTAAGAAATCATGTTAACACATTGACATGTGACATACTTTCTTGCTTAAGAGCGTACACGATTCTTTGATACATGAATTAGATTACCTCTGAATAAATGTTTTGTGAATTGAATATGACATCATGAAATGCCTTAATTCATTCGACGGTGCTCTCTCAAAACCAAGCAACTTTGAAGCACTTGAATATTTCAGTCATAAAATGACTTTATTCTGCGCCCACATTTTCTATGCAGCAAAATACTCTTAGACCACTTATTTTTCTCCAACTCTAATGGTTCCATCAATTCTAGGAAAATTGACTCTAAGCTGTATCGCAACAAAATAATGTAGATTACGTTAACCACATAAGTAAAATGCATAATTAAAAACATTTCATTGTATTTTACAAGTGCATTCAGACATTCTTGCTTTGTCTTTCAAAACGCCAACAATTGTCTGATAAATAAACAATGCGACAACACATTCGAGGCAGTAAATTTCACGAATGGCCCCAATTCACTTTAAATTCAAGCGCATTCAAACTAAACACCACTGCACAACGTAATTGAAGTAACATTCCATAAAAACTGCGATTCTCTGCCTTTTGTGGCTGCGTCGGGTTCTGCATCGAAAATGTTTCTCATTCCCATTCCACCGGTAGCGTTTTGGACGTTTTCAACTTTTTATTTGCATCAACAAAATGACCGGACAAACAGGAGACAAGGAAATAACTAGAACTCACAGTGGGCAATATTCATATTTTGAAGATAACTAAACAAAACTATGACTTGAATTCGCTAGAGAAGTATTGTAATTCGTAAGAAAACTATTGTAATCCTATTTTCTCCAACGAACACATGTTTACAAAAAAAACTACTCTGTCCCAAGATGATAAAAAGCTCTTGCAAAATCTACTTGAATAAATGAGCTTGAGCCCTTCACAATCCATCAGAAGACACATTTTGTTTCTCATTTTTTCAGTACGTTATACTCAGTATGTTAATGACGGTTGGTTAAAAGGACAAAATCAAAATATGTAGTTGTTGTCATCATAATGGAACCAACGAGCATTGATTGTAACTAATGTGTAATAAATGCTTAATTTACTCGTACACGCACTTGAAAATCTTGTAACCTATCGATAAAAGTTTGATTAAATGAGTGAAAAAAAATGTCAGAACAATCAATGAGCAAGAAGCACGAGAGAAGAATTCGAAGCAGAAAAAAACTTGGCGATAACGAGAAAAACTATCCTCAACCCATCTACGATATGTAGTCATATTCTTACATCGATTAAGCTCAATTGAAATAAATCTGAAATTTGATACTGGATGCAAGGAGAGCATTCAGCATATATCTTATTTAAATTTGCAAAGACTATATCACCATGTTTTTTAATAGTTTAAATTATTGAATAAACTATAAAAGATTTCAAATCCTAAAATTTCCAATTACCAATTATGAGTCTCTCCAAACTAAAAATATTTAATAACGCATGGAGAAGTCGTGTGATTTTATAGAGTTTCAATGACCAATTCTAGAATTGAATAGTGTGTTCATGCGAGAATAAATTAACTGAAACTAAACCATTTAAACCACCCAATGAAGTCACCTGCTCTGATTCATGTCACAACGAACTAATGGTAAGCGAAAACGACGAGGAGAGGACCTTCCTTCTGCAAAGAACTCAGGCCGAGAGAAAACGTTTTCAATATTTCAATTTCAATTCGCGACATCCGCACAGCTCAATTTTCTCTCATCTTCCCAGGGGGTTGCACTTCTGATTGTCTCGAGCGTCGTCATTCGTCTGTCTAGACTGCTGAAGTGCACATTTCTGGGGAAGTCTTCTTTAGATTGCCGAGCTGCTTTTTTAGCTTTCTAGACACGTGAATTTATTCTAATTATATCACTAACATGCATCACTCATCACTCCATCACTCTGTTCAAGTCCTTCTGCCTTCACCGAGGAGACCAAATAGTCCCAAGTATGTAAGTGGCTTATGATCCTCTTTGAATCTTTCTAGGTACCATTTATTAGTTGGTTGTATTCACGCCTCCGTCCGCTGAGACTGGCTAACCGCTATGCCCGGTCACCTTGGAAATCTTCATGGTTCTTTCTCTCGATCAGAAATGTGCCCATGAACGGCGTGACCACGAGACTCTGAGACTGGCTAACCACTATGCGCGGTCACCTTGGAAATCTCCATGGTTCTTTCTCTCGATCAACAATGTGCCCATGAACGGCGGGACTACGATCATCTAGTCTGTCCGTAGTGCTTCTTTTAATAGTCTAAGACAATTTAAATGTTGAATTCATACGTTTTCTATAAGGCTGTATCTGTTGGTGAAATCTGACAAAAATACAAGCATCCCACGATGTGTTACATGACGGGTTACATTACAGGTCGGATATTTATGGGACGTCACATCAGCGTAAATGTTATTGTCGATGTTGTCGAACGAAGGAAGGGTTCGAGAACCAGCAGTATCGGATTTTCAAAACTAGCTGAACCGCGATATTTTCTTTTTCATCCTAATGTTCTGCTCTCCACCTACTCTTTCTCCCTCTCTCCTTCTCTCTCCGTCTCCCTCTCTCTCCGTCTCCCTCTCTCTCCGTCTCCCTCTCTCTCCCTCTCTCTCCGTCTCCCCTCTCTCTCCCGTCTCCGCTCTCTCCTCGTCTCCTCTTCTCTCCGTCTCCTCTCTCCTCCCTTCTCTGTCTCCTCTCTCTCCGCTCTCCCTCTCTTCCCTCTTCTCCCTCTCCCTCTCTCCTCCTCTCCCTCCCTCTCCTTCTCTCTCCCTTCCTCCCTCTCTCTCCCTCTCCTCCCTCTCTCTTCCTCTCCCTCCCTCTCCCTCCTCTCCTCCCTCTCTCTCCCTCTCTCTCACTCTCTCCCTCTCTCTCCTCTCTCTCCCCTCTCTCTCCTGCTCTCTCCCTCTCTGCTCCCTCCTCTCCGGTCTCTCTCGCCAGGGTCTCAGTCTCAACGGTCTCTCTTCTCCCTCTCTCTCCCTCTCTCTCCCTCTCTCTCCCTGCTCTTCCTCTCTCTCCCTCTCTCGTCCCGCTCTCTTCTCCCCTCTCCTCTCGCCTCTCTCCTGTCTCCCCTCTCTCCCTCTCTTCTCTCGCCTCATCCTCTCTCCTCTATCCATCTCACTCTCGACTCTCCCTCATCTCTCCTCATCCCTCTCTCTCCTCCCCTCCTCGTTCTCCCCTCCCGTCTCATCGCTCTCACCTTCCGTCTGAGCTCCCATCTCACGCATGCATCTCCACTCGGTCTCTCCGGCATCCCATCGACGGCGAGTCTCGCTTCGAGTCAGTCCGCCACCACCGCTCTCTCTCAGCACCGCCGCTCCTGTCTCCTGTGCTCACTCTATTCCTCAGTCTATCGAATCTCAAGTGTCCAACTTTCCTCAGCCATCTCCACCCACAAACCTTCACACCTCGGTCTGGCGAGTCTCGGCGCCGCGAGGCACGAACACCCCCTTCCGAGGGCGTCAGAGGAGCCGGCACCCTCCTACTGCATCTCTCGCCACTCCCTCTTCCAATACCTCCGAACGTCCATCTCCCGTCCCTCTCCACTCACTCCCGGTCCTCGCGCTCCCTCGTCTCTTGCGACGAAGCGCGGACCCTGACTCTTCAGGGTCCCGCGCCCCTGCCATCTCTTCTTCAGGCCGGCAGGGGTAGTCAAGAGGGTCAAGCACCACATCGTCTCGCCGTACTCCTCAACCCATACGAACGACACCACGAGCCCCATGGGCATCTCAGTCAAGAATCCCTCAATCTCCCACTCGTACCCATCGACAATTCCAGACGAGGAGGGGAGAAGAATGGACTCCGGGAGACGAGGCTCAGCGCGGACGCGCATCAGAGATCTCAGGCATAGAGCACGAGGGCGAAGGTGAAACA